AATGTGGTGCTCTAAACATCATTCAAAACACCACCAGTCTTTCTTCACACAGATGCACAGATGCTTAGATACTCTGCTTTGAAAAGTGATCTGTGTGCTCAGACTGTCACAGATCACAGATTCAAGGCTGTAGCATGTATCCTCTGGGTAACTGAGAGACACTCATGTTACACTCTATTTAGCTGTGCTCTTAAATGAACTGTTGCTTGGAGTGTTTCTTTGTTTGTCATTCACCTGAAGCACCCAGACAAAGGTGTATTTATACATACAATGAAGTGAAGCCCCATGACTACACACAGGTAGCTTCCATTTGTGTAGTTACACATGATTCTAGATGTAAAGGGAGTACTAAAGGCATTTTTGATTATCTGAAACATACTTTATATTTATTTTTTTTCTTTTTAAACTGGATATTTTATCTTCTAAATGTATCTTGCTGCTTCTGCTTTTTGTTCCTGGTTGGCTTTTATCCCACACTCTTGGACGTTCCTTTTCATCTGTTATTTCTCTGGCTGGTTTCTACCACATGCCCGCTTTCCAAATTGCAGGAATTGAGAAACTGTGGGCAAAACAATAGAGGCATTTCACCGAGCTCAAACAACCTCCCTCACACCAAAGCATTTCAAAACCATGACTCTAAAGATGCTGTTTCATAACTCTTTCTCCCTGCAGCGAGAAGGCAAATTTTCCTCTATTTCCTCTGCAGAACAAACCCAAACAACCACACAGACCAAACAAGAAAACAAAACCCAACAAATATGTTGTGAGCGATGTTAAAAAACTGCTAGGAACTTCCTCCACCCAAGACTGCTCATCTGTCACTTAATTGCATGTTTGCAGAGAAGCAAACAGAAATATGTTGGAGAACAAATTCTGGGCAAGACAAGACCTGCATAAAACAACACAACCATTCAAAGTTTGAACTAAAGTAAAGTTGTTTCATCACCGCGTCCATGACAGAAGCATGATAGATATCATTTCTGTGTCAAAACAGAGGTACTATTATTCAGGCTGGCCTGAAATAACTTCCTTCAGGTGATTCAGTGAGACAGGTCAGTTAAGATTTTGTTAATTTCAGGAAAACAAAGCTGCCCTTATTTCTAATTTCAGTGCAAACTTTCAGTACAGACCAAAGAAAGTCTTGAGACTCAGGACAATAACTTCTCTTGCTTTTTTTATGCATGTAAGTCAGTAAGTAAGATGGGATCAAAGCAAGAATGGCCTTATAAATCAGTATGAACCAGTGACTTAGTCAACTCAGACCCGAGCATGCAACATGCTATTGTGGGTA